CAGCAAGGAAGGCAGGGGAAATCCCACTTTCAAGCAGCAAGACCACGATTTGCAACCCCCCAACTTGCACCGGGGGGTGAGCTGCGTTCCCCCACCCCACCTAAATGAACCTCCAGTCTACGTGGCACAAAGAGAGTTTCTCTCTCCTCCTCCCCGCAAGCTGCTCTTCAAAAAGGTGAAGGCAGCAGCCACGTTTTTCCTACTCTTTCCTCCTTTTTGGGAGGCGGGGGGGAACACCCCACCCTTGGGGAATGGAAGGAAAGTTTCTTGGAAACAAATGTCTTACCTGCCAAAACAATACCTCTGTCAGCTTCCTGGCTCGTGATCCGTAATCAGCGGAAAGGATTTAAAATGAGAGCACCTGCCAACTCGTTGGAAGGGGCTGCTGAAATTTCTGCAGGTACCGATGCTGAAGCCACAGCCACCATGAGAAATCAGGTTGAAAAGCCCGAGACTGCTTCCTGCCCCTGAGCCCTAGAGGAAGTGCAAAAAGGATGAGGGAGAGCAATAGTTAATTTTTAATCTGTTCTGAGCAAAATTCACAGATGAAAAAATTCACAGTGCTCAGGAATCACCCTTTTAAGCTGCTAACCCCACAACAAACATGCCAGATTACCAACAAAATAAGCCTGGCACCCATTTAAAGCAGAAGTCAGTCTGGAAATGAGCCCCAAACCTTGCATGACCAAGCTCTTCTAAAAACAGCCCTTGTCAAAGCTGGCGGGGACAGGTTACAAGCAGCTGGTCCCATTCTCCACCTCCTTCACGGACCCTGCAGCTGCTCTGCCAAGTCATGAGGCATTGCCCGGGCAGCCCCGATTCTCCTTGGCACAGCGACTCGTGCAAAGTGAACCTAGAAATCTCCCTGTCAAATCCTAGGGCAGGACAGAAACTCGCTCATTGTAGCAAAAACAACCCACCCCAAAAATTCAGACAACCTTGGAAAACATCAAGTGTTTGGGAAGCAAATCTTCCAAATGCTAAACGGGGAGAATCCCCAAAGAGCAACACCAAAAAACAACGGATGCTCAGTAGACCTCAGCCCATCACGAGAAGATGGATGGAGAGAAGACGGAGCAGAGAAAATCCTGCTGCATGTCTGCGGTGCTCGACCACAAGCTCAGGAAAGCCCTGATGAAACTTGCCAGCATGGCTGGGAGCCTCACATCAGTCTCTTCCATAGCGCAGGACGTGGAGCAAACGCTGGAAGAGACTGCAATTCCCACTGCTGGACAGGTGGGAGCAGACAATCCGCAGGGAAGCACTCTATGAAAAAACAGCAGTAAGGAAAAGCAAGTATGAATTAGTGATCCGGGTGGGCTGCTGTGCCTGCAGCTCCTCAGGGTTCCTGTGTGCTGAGGGGACAAGACGAACCCTGTCCACATACAGCTCAATCTGCATCTCCCGAACTGCGTTATCTACCATTGCTTTGACTCTGGAAATTTTACAACAGAAGCAGAGTATCGTCTGAGAAAAACCGAGTGTCTACCAACCAGTACCCCCAAAACTCTTCTTACAAAACTGACTGCACTTGGTAAAACCATTTTGACTGGGAATAAGTGCTAAGGAAGAAAAGTATAGTAACTTGAAAAAAAAAGGAGGTATTTTCTGAAGAAATGCTCTAACCAGGCAAAAATGTAAAGCAAGCTTTGTCAAAGTGACATTTTCTGAACTAGCTCTATCAGTTTCTAAATGTAGCTATTGCATTTAAAATTCATACCCTATCCTGACATTGAATTAATTTCATGTCTAAGCAAATCCCAAGTTAAATCCAGAAACTGGCGTATCCAGTATGCTTTACAAGATACACTGGGAGATAGCAAGGCTGGAAGGTAAAAATTCCTCTCAGATCTTGTTTAGCAGAAGTGGGGGATTAGCAAGCCAGTAATGAGAAATTAAGTATGCAAAGATCAGAGTCAAACATCTCTGTTCCTCAAAAGGGATTCAGAGAAATACCTAAGGGTGCTCAGTACTTCTTGGTGTGCGGGATATGAACCTGTCTCCTGAAAACAGTCCAAGTAACAGGAATTTTCTCTAGTCAGACACACACAGAAAACATCATCCGCCCCCGTCAGACCCCTCAGCCCATACATGGGGCTGCGCTGGTACAGACCCACATTTGCTAAAGAAATGGTTTCAAACTCCTCATCCCATTGGAAGCCGGTCAGAATTTCTCACAGGCCACCCCTGATGCTTACTGTCAAACTTTTAATTAAACACACGTTAATGGCAACAGGCCACCCCGCAGCCTTGCAGCTTACGCTTTGGAAATCACCACTTCATGCCCAACAGGAGTAACACCCACGTCTTTCCAGCTCTGCAGTTGGCTAAACATTTTTCAGTCTATGTAACTCAAACGGTAACCCGAGAGTCCCTGCAATTTAGAGTAATCTACATTGGATCATCGTATCTTCATCAAGTAACATAGTAAGAATGTTTGAGTCGTTTTTGTAATTACTAGTAAACGTTGCATGCTGAAAGGCAGAACACTTCATAACCTCAGTTGCAGATTTTGATGCAATTTTCAAGAATTACATAATCTCAGTGAGCTGTGATATCATCTGCCTTGGATTTCTTGCCTTTAGCACACAAAGATAAAAGCAGAATTTACCTTACTACACGGAGTCCTTGTCTTTGATCTTGTGTTACACTAAACGGTAATTAATCAGGGCTTTTCCTGTAGCCATCCATGAGAAAGAAAATCCCACACTCTGTTTAACTTGGATTCCAAAACACAAACCCTACAAAATCCAGGTGACCGGCTGTTTTGTAGCTCCACATAAAAGTCTCCTCTCTGCTTCAGATGCTGCAATAATGGCCGGGAGCTGAAAATGAACATTAAGATGAATAAGTGATACACAGAAAAAAGTGCAGAGAGATTAACAACTCAACAGAACATTGGCCGAGATTCTCACAAACAACCCCAAAAGACTGGCTCACACATCAAGGGAACGTGGCCTAAAGCCTCACGTCAACCTCTCTCCTAAAAGGAAATGCATGAGCTATTTTAAGCTCTGCAGCACCAGTGAACAGACTTCAGTGGGTAATGTTTGCTAGCCTCTGTACTCCCAAATTGTTCTCCGCCTAAGGGCCCAAGGGTCTGTATATACACAGCTCTCCTAGAAACTAGGGGATGCCACTTATGATGGCTCAGACTAATCATTACCAAATTTCTTTCTGCCAAGGCAGGTCCAACAGAGGAGAATGAAGGGCATACAGGGTAGCACTGTTGCAGATCTAGAAAGTGTTTAACAGCAGAACAGAAAGAAAACCTTCTTTACATCACCTCTGAAACGCCATTCTATTGAACAGGCACTTTTCAAGAAGAGGGGCATCATCTGAGTCTAGAGCACCGCTGACCAGCTACATCAGAAGAAAAAAAGCACTCTGCTCTCTTCCACCACTCCGCTGCCTCTGAAACACTACCAGCACACGCAGGGAACATTAATTTCCTTAAATTCAGGGTAACTGAAGGGTAGGACACTGTTAACAGCCCACAGCACAGTCAGATGCACAGCAGGAGGACAAAATTCAGAGCAGATGAGAATGCAGGGGTCCAGTAGTCCTCTAGTTCCACTTGTTCAGAAATACGCTAGCTCCAGTCTACGCCACCATTCCCCTCATATTTACAGTGCGTTTACCATTGCAGTTGATAAAAAGACCACAGATTGACAAATATATCATAATTATGGACACAAACAAAGGTGTAGTAGAAGTAGGCTTTATGAAAGTATTTAAATTTTGTGGCAAATCTCTGCATCAACATGGGCAGGGAGGCAACTAAATGCTTTGCAGTAGCAATTTCAGTTACCAAACTATTTCTTGGATAGACATTTATTACAGGTAGTTTATCTGTTCCTATTTCTCAAAGAGTTTAAGGCACAAAAGCCTGAAAAGGGCTTATAACATGTACATAAGTGCTATTATTTTCTCTTTCACCTCTAATGCAACATAATATTAGCTTAAATATATTGCTTGTCCATCCAGCTTATACAACATCCAGTAGAAAACTGCTTTCCAGGTTAGCAACAATTTGTTGCACAATATATTGATTAGATTGCTCTGACCCGTTTTTGCTGCAAGATCTTCAGTTTCACCATATTCACTCTAACAGGACAGTGGAAGACGCTACGAAATCTTAACACCTTAATGAGACCATCAAGGTGTGTCCACAATGAAAAAAGGCATGATACACAAAATAACATTTAAACAAGGTTGCTGGTAAAAGTGTTTTAAACTGCTTGACTGATGGGGAATTATTTCTTAATACACAGGTGGAGAAGCAAGCCAAATGTGCGAGGGATCACCAGGTAGAAGGCATCGGTCTGTAGTAGTTTTATAATGCTCCTTTCTGTCTTTACTCTCCAAAATGCTCTTCAGGTAGATTGCTTAAGAACACCGAGCTATAAACTTGCTAGCTCAAGACCACAGCTTAGGTTAAACAGAACATAAGCTTTCAGCTACATGGTTCTTTCCCGTGCTCAAGTTACAGCAACCTTACCCAGTCACTAGAAAGCCTTTGAGACATTTTAGTGATATCCAACAATGATTTTTTAAAATAACACATTCATGAGAGTTGGATCAAATGACTGAAGACAGTTAAATGGGCAGCAAAACAGAAAGATGGGCAGGAACCAAAATGCAAAGGGTAATTTTACTTAAAAGACCAACTTTTTTATTGTACGTTGGAGTAGAGTCTTTCCCCTGTGCCATCTCGTTGAAAGTTTATAAATTACAATTCCCAAGAAGTATTAAGAGTTCATTTCAAGACAAAAGGAATAAAACTGTTGCAGTTCTAACTTTCACCATGAATAAAAGTTACCATGATGCTCCTACGATACTCATTCTGTACAGGAAAGGCCACAGTCCTCCTGTACTTCGAGTAACAGACCCGGGTGGAGAAAGGGCCACCCCTCACTACTGCAGGATCCAGGTGCAGCATAACAGTCCGGAGCGCACTGGCGGGCTTGTCACACAGACACAGTGCCTCAGCAACGAGGCTATAACACGGCTGGAATCTCTGACGAGACAGTGTCCAAAGGCTGCCAATGACAGTCCATCAAGGCATCGTAGAGCTCTTCACTCTGTTCCATAAACTGTTTATTTGCTTCATGGACATCCAACTGAGGCGTCGGATCTAAAGGAGGAAAGACAGACAAATAGGTCACATGCCTAGGAAATGTGTTAGGAAAGACCCACACCCCGTAAACATGTTAGTTTTATTAAAACAAATGTGGGGGGAGTCACAAAACATTCCCAGCACTTGCCCAGTCACGAACCTGGCTAGATTAGCCCTAGTAAATCTTTCTGCAAGGGGATAAGAAACAACTACATCCAAATATGTCCCTCTTTCCAGTGGTGATCGCCCCCATAGCAGAGTCAACAGAGAGAACGCATACCTGCACCTCGCAGCCCAGTGTAGCCACTTAAACTGCCAAAGAGGGTGGGTTGGCACTAAGGCACCGGACTGCAAAGTGGAGGAGCGGAGGCACAGGCACACGTTCCGTTCTGCTCCCTCCACTACTGGGTCAGAGTGGATGGCTGGGGACGGTAGCGTCTTACGCCGCTGCAACAAGAGTCACCAGAGCTCGTCTGCCAAAGCCTCGAACATCTCAAAGCATTTCACAGTTAGTAACCAAAAAAGTGCCAGCGACACCCAGTGAATTATGTATGAATATGTCCCCTATTTTACAGTTGGAAGAAATGTTTGTAAAGCATTTTGGAGCTGGATAGCAACCCAGAGGGTACAATTCTGCTGCTACCAATGCACACTTAACATTTCACAAAAATCGACTCATCGTATTCCCCACACCACTTGTAGGATGTAAAGCTCACCTAACAACACCCACAACCTAAAGCTCAGGTTATCAGACTAGCACAATCACATACGTTAGCAAGCGACTATCAGCGTGCAAAGCAACTAGCCGACTGAATGGAAAAACTACAAAACACATCAGGAATAAAATGCTTGTAAACATGTTCGGTTTTAGCTACATCGTGTTGTAATACATCACAGGAGAACAGAGTTAAGAAAAAGGAATGATACACTGGCAATAATGTTATTTCAGTTTCCTACAAGTTTCAACATGTTAATTTAATCAATGAGAAAAAGACACCCCAGAGATATTCTAGCTATGGTACCGGTGTGCTAGTTTCAGAGAAAGGAAAGTTCTCCTGTAATGGTTTTAAAAGCCAGTAAGGGCTTTCTCATTGACATCATTACTGATACCTATGGATCCTGTAAAGGATCCAGCTGCTTTCTACTGTTACCATGTGATTTTTAATTTTTTTTTTAAAGAGAAGAATAAGATACACTACATAGTGCGTATTCCACTCAAGACAGAAATTTGGAACTGCTAGTATGAAATTATTTTTTCTTGCACCATTAAATGAAAACTGCTTGTATGTATGTCTAAAACCCCAATATGGTTTAGTGGCCCATTTCAAGCAATGACTGCTAAAGGAAATATTTTATCAGTGTGCTAACTGATATTATTTCTTTTTTAAACTAAAAGCACAGTGAAGTATCCTGGGCTCTAAATTCCAAGATTTTACAGAAAAACAGAGTATCTACATTGTTTTTGTAGCATACCAGAAAAAAATACTTAAAAAAAGGATAAAAGTTTGAGTACTATAGAAGACTAAAATCTCAATGCTAGTGAAGTCAATTAGTTTCAGTCCTGACAAGGTTCAGACTAGGAACAGCAACTGTAAAATAAGGATGCAAATGCGCTAGGTGATAGTGACCCACAAATTTTCTCAAGCCCCAGTTTTACTCAAAGATAAAGGTATATTATACATTGAAATTAAGGTCCAATTTGAGAAAGACTATCTCTAATCAGTGCAGAACAAATAGACAACTTCAATATCGAATTCAAGAAAAGTACCTTCCAATGCATCCTCACCAACTTCTTCATATGTCTGCAAGGAAAAAAAAACAAAACTCCTTAGGACAGCAGATATTTATCTTTTCTTTTATGAATTACTGCTGTCACAGTCACACTGACTTTTATATCTGACTGATTACAACAGAATTCTTCACACATAAGCCCCGTGTTCCACTCCCAACAGACTCCCAACAGACTCCATGGGGAAGACCCCACACTAAACTTCTAACAGAGGCAGCAGTTCTTCAAATCCCTGTGGTGCAGTGGGTGGCTGTCCTGATCTGTTTTATCCCCTAAAGCAAGGCTTATGAAGGATCCCAGAAGGCAGTCTTAGCACTGTCTGTCCAGCTGCCCGTATCAAGAGAACCCTTCTACCATGACAACTGTATTAAGAGACCCTTTGTGCCCTCCAGACCTTTTTAACCCTCCAGTCCAGCAATATCCCCCATACAAGGCAACAGTACACACCCGGGTCTGCTAACCAGTTTCGCTTCCTCATCAAGTAGCTATACTAAGACCCCAGAATTGAATATAAAATGTGTCCATCACCGTTTTGTAACCTATGTCGTGTTTCTGTGCTGACAGATCACTGAAGAGCGAGTACATCGCGCTGTCCTACCTGCATTGTGCTCTGTGTGTATCCGTACTGGGGATAGCTGTAGCTGTAACTGCCTGTGTTCTGGTCGTAGCCCCACTGGGCATAGTAGTTGTGATATTGTTGGTAATATTGGTTATAATTATAGTTGTACATCTGATTGTACTCCATTGGTTTCACACGATTACTTAAAAAAAATAAAGCAGGAATAAGTTGCAAATAATGCAGAACAATTATGAAAAAAAACCAGTGAAATAGCTTAAGATACAATATGGTACACAGACAAGGCTTAGTCTAACATGCAAATTTCAGTCTTTAAAATATATTCACTATTTACTGCAGCAGTATTTATCATTTGCATACATTTGCAGAAAGAAAGAAGTGGTTTAAATTTAACGCCCTTTCCTGTATTCATATTCATCTTCATTAATAAACATTGCGTTCATTCTTTATGAGTAATTTAGTATCACTTCCTGGCTTTGGGAAGGGAAGAGTTCAGGACTATGAGCCTCAGTTTAGAATAATCCTGAACCATGATCCAGATTCTTGGGTCCCTTTTTCCTTCTGACAAATAGAATGAAGTTAAGTACTCTGCAGCTTCCTGAGACAAGGTACTGAGTCTTGCTTTACATGAAGAGTTAAAGACTGAGAGCCTTGCAAAAGATCTGGGGTTTTCTTTACTAAGAATGGACAAAAACCTCTCCCTTCTGCCACTATCGTACAGAAGCCTAACCAACGACGGGTTGTCCCCATTCCCACTGAACTGGGTGCTCTTCAATGCACATAGTTGGAAGAGCTCATGAAGTAAAAAGGACTACAAGTAATTAAAAAACTAAACTTAAATAGCCTGTGAGCTGACTAAAATTCCCATTCCTTGCCATAAAGTGGCAGCATTCCCAAGGAACTGAGAATCTCACCTGATTATCAAGATTTGAAATAATGAGATGACAAATATTGTTTGGAAATGAAAATGTGTCACACATAAAGCTATGTCTAATGATGAAATTAGTGAGAAGTAGGAAGAGGGAAACATCAATCTTCTCACCACGATACACCCCCTTTTTCTGCTTTTCTCTTCCTTATCCCCCCCAAGACTTCTGAGGTCACTGAAAATCTAAATATTATTCAAATAGGGAGCAATTACTATTATTTGTATTACCCTAGTGCTACGAGCCCCAAGTCAGACCAGGATCTCATTGTATCAGGTTCTGAACAAACACAGAAAAAAAAGTTAATCCCTGCCCCAAAAGACTTATATTTAGTAGACATTATAATAGAATTAGCAAGGTAATTGAGCTTTGCTATCCAGAAATCAATAAGCAGATTTAGACTATTTCAATTTAATGCAAAGGAACACATACTTTAAAAATAATCATATTTAAATACAGTGTGTGTACATGTGTGTGTATTTAATAACGTATACAAATAAAAACAGTGTAAAATGCTTAGTCTTGATCTAATGTTATAATTTTTTTGAATTCCTGTGCATTCTGATACTCTAGCTACTTTACTATACTTGTGGGTATTCCTTCACTTTGTGATGGAAACATCCAGGAAATGTGCCCAAGCCACTAAAAGACATTTAAAAATACATGTGATTTCACATCACCCTGCTCTCATATAAACGTCTGGCTGCTCTTATACTCACGCTTTTGGTATAGCCACACTCAAGCGTACAGGTTTAGAGCCCAACCCCACCGCTCCTTGACACTCCGTCAGCGCTCTTTTCTGTTCCAGTTCATCCGTGAATTTCACGAACCCGTAACCTCTGCAGAGATACAGAATAACTCACGTAAAACAAAAAAGCCATGCCACTGTTGTTTTTTTTTTTTAACATTTACAGTGAAATCAAAATTGGTTTTGAAAAACACAGCAAATGAAGCAGGACTAGGACTGTCCCTGCTTTTAGTAGAGATTAAGTGATTCCGTCTTCCAGTTGCTTTGTATTATTTGCAAAATGCTTGAAACTGTACGTCCAAGCTTTGGCAGTACTTGCAAGGGCTTCACAAAAGTAAAGTAATTCTTGTGCCAGTGGATTCTGGGGAATTGGAAGTGAGCTGACACAAGACATGTCGAAATGCATGAACAGACAGTAGCAAAGCCTCAAATCTATACTGGGAGGATACAGATAATGTAAACAGTTGCAAGTCAGCACAGGATTGATAAGACATAGGCACCGTTTATATCTAAAACTGCCCCACCGTGAAGGAAAACTTGGCTTTTCTGTAGGATCGCCTGAGATACACTTTCCAATCAAGTCCTTTTCTCAACAGGAAAATATTCAAATAGGCTTTCTGTCATTCCTAACAACGGCATGACCCCATCAGCATTCTCAACAGCAGACCTGAAAACGAGCTCTTAACATCAAGTTGCTAAAACCTGCTCTGACAGCACAACTTGGACAGGGATAGCACACAGCCAGCAACCCCTCAACTCTGTGGCAATCCTTCACTGCGGTGCTAGCAGTACTGTACGTCAGCCAGACAGAAAACATTAATTCCCCTCCAACCCCAAAGGTCCTTTGCGTGGGATTCTGATGCTGTAGTGAGTCAGAAGCAATGCAACAGCATCCAAGAGGGCAGTGCCAGGATCCCAAGATGGGATGGGCTGCCTCACGCAGCAAAAAGATCAAAGA